AATTTTTTTTTTTATATCTTCCTTGACAGAAGGCTTGCCTTCAAGCACAAGAACAGCACCAACAGAAACAGCATACACATATGATAACAGTGAGTCCTCTGTTGGAGGAGCAGAGCCAAGAAGAAGATACAGAGGAGTGAGACAAAGGCCATGGGGCAAATGGGCAGCTGAGATCAGAGACCCATACAAGGCTGCTAGGGTTTGGTTAGGCACATTTGACACGGCCGAGGCAGCTGCTAGAGCTTATGATGTTGCAGCTCTCAGGTTCAGAGGCAACAAAGCCAAACTCAACTTCCCTGAAAATGTCCGGCTTCGTCAATCTCCGGCGACCCAGTTGACCATTTCCGATTCTCCCAACACCCTTTTCTCCGTTTCAACTTCGCCTGAGCCGATTGTTCACACCAGAGCACCTTATTATATGTACCAGGAACCTGAGGCTTCCGGGGATTATATGAACTTCTACTCTCCGATACCTGTGAATTCGATTGATTTTCAGGGACAACCCATGAGTTTGTTGGACCAATTGCTATTGTCATCTTCAATGAATTCTAGTTTGCAGTCTTCGTCGTCCTCTTCAGTTGGGTGCAGTAATACAGGATCGCCTTCTTCAACTTCACCTACTTTTCCTCTGTTTTTTCCTGCCCAGCCACAGGTTTTTCCGGCGCCGGCCACCAGTCAGGGTGGCGGAGCTGATTTTTCTGGGATGTCGGGGTCAGGTTCCGGCCATCAGCCTTCTTCTACAGGATGATTTTGCTTTGATTTATATTTTCCTGTTTTATGTCTATATTGATTAGTAGTTTGTCTGCCATGTGTTTGATGAAATTTGGTACTGAAGTATTTTTGAGATTTTGCACCGTTTCTCATGAACTTTTGAATGGATATTGAGGGAAACAAAGAGCTTCTGTCAAGTGTTGAATTGCATTTTCAACCATTAATCTACACTGTAACAAGTTAGACTAATACAAAAATGCGTACGTGACAATTCAATACAAGATCTGTGAAGCTGACACAAAACTAGCACAAAGTTAGCAGACCATCAGCCTTCTACTTCAGGATAATTTCTACTCTTATTTTCACTCTCTTGTGTTAGTTGGATATTGCTTTTGTTGTTTGTCTGCCATGCATTTGATGGAAACGTAATATAGGCTTATCAAATTTTCTTACCAAATCTCAATCCAAAATGATGTGACACAGTTTTTTACCATTAAAGTCTCATTAATATTCAATGACGGAGATTGTGTCATATCATTTGAAATGAATGATTTGATAAGAAAATTTAATAAGTATAACATTTTTCTTGATAGAATTTGGTGCTGAAGTATTCTGAGATTTGGTGAATGGATATAGAGAGAAACAAAGAGCTTATGTGAAGTTTTGAATTTGCATTTTCAACCATAAGTCTTCCCTCTAACAATTTAGCCTAATCCAAAAACGAAATAGATATTTATTGTTGTCAACATCATATATTGAGAGAGCGCATTGAATTAGACCTGCCCTTCCAATCTTTGTACTGATAAAAAAAATTCAAAACAAGGCAAAAAATAACTCTTATGACTAATCAGCTATGCAATTACATTGATTGGAAGCAGTTTTTTTTTTTTTTTTAATTTTCTTAAATGGTAAATGATTTATCGTGCATCGGTTAGAGATCCATCGATAAAGGATTTGGAATTGGATAAACGTAATCACTTATCATTAATAAAAACAAAAATAAATCAATGATTAAAAATCGAATTTTTTTTATGTTAGGAATGCTTTGAAGTTAAAATTTTGCTTGAATTAACCGAATATATGTTTCGAAATTAAATATCATAATTGCATTTTGTTTTCACCAAAATGACGGTTTTGTTTGTGTTGGAAATTGAAGGGTGATAAAAAAAAAAAATTGTGTACAGAATGTTTGAAATTAAAATTTTAATTTTTTTTTCATTTTTGTGTTTTCATTTCGTATTTAAAAATATATTTAGAACGTTTTTATTTTCAAGCTAACTGATATTATTTGCCAAAACAACAACTTGATCTTTAGCTAGTAAGCTCCAATGGTAAACGATTGAATTTGACCTAACCAACTTATAGAAGGAAAGAGACAGAAACGGTAAGGTATTGTTGAATGGTCGTATGGTGACTAAATTCAAGGGATAGGATAGAACTATGGTAACGCTGGTGCCATAGTAACATTAATTTATGGTGGGTTTTTCTTTAATTGATTAGTAGATATTAATTATAAAATGAAAATTTTCAGTCATATCTCTTCTTGATTATCATATCTTCAAAGACACCTTTTATTTTTTAAATCTTCATTGACACCCTTATTAAATTAAAGATGTTAATTAGAATACAACTTTATTAAATTGCTTATGATATATTTTAGTAAAAACTCTCAATAGAATTTTAATCGGTTGAATTTTAATACATAAGAAAATATAAATTTTGATTGATTTAAATTTTAATCAACTTGAATCAAATTTTAATAAATAAAAATATATAAATTTTAATCGACTTAAAGACAATTTTAATCGGGGCTAGTAGCTCAAATAGAGTTCAAATCAGCTTGAATTTTAATACATAAAAAAACTTTTACTAAGGTCAAATTTTAATATATATAAAAATAAAATTTAATCAATTCGAATCGAATCAAATTTTAATATGTAGAAAAAAATAATTTTAATCAACTCAATTTAATATGTAAAAAAAGAAATTTTAATTAGCTTGAATTTTAATCGAATTTTATATAGAAAGATTGTTTGAAATTTATATAGGGTTAATTTTTGGTATTTTAAGTAATTTATTTTTATTATAAATGGTGATTTAATAGCAAAGGGTGTTAGTGATGTCTAAATATAAACTAAAAAAAGTTGTCAATGATGTTTTTGATAATAGATATTGTCCTTAAAGATATAGTAAACTAGAAATGGTATAGTTGAAAATTTTCCATTATAAAATAATAAATTTATATATGACATTTTTATTAGATAAAACATTAGAGGAATGGTATAAATTGGACCCACAATCAAGATTTTCAATGGGCTCATTAGGAGTTTTTTTTTTTTTGTGCAAAACAGATATTTGAAAAGTGAAATGAAAAAGTCAAAGTTGAAACTCTTAAAAAAATTTAGAGTTGCGCAAAAAATTCCGATTTTTTCTTGGAAGTCATTGAATAAACTCTATTTTTTAACTTTTTCTTAGTACTGATAAAAGTTACTAAAATAGATTAATAATAACTAGTCTAAGCAGACCAGACTTCTTTTCCTCTAAAACAAAAAAAAAAAGAAAGTTTTAAACCGGCTCTAAACAAGCCCAATGTGTTACACATATATCCAGTCTTAACTCTTAATTTTATTTATAAGCATTTCCATCAATCATAAAAATAATAAAAAAATACACAAACACCTTTCTATTGAAACACAATTTTTTCTATACTGGGCTTTGGTTAAAAAACACTACATTCTTTGTGGTCTCATTAAGGAGGTTTTGAGCAGTATGATTGAAAGGATGTTTGTCTGTCTATTAATGAATTATCGGATTGCTTTAGCCAATAGGGCGTAGAACCGAACCTTTGTCACGGAATTTTATGCAACTTATATTTTTTCCCCCAAAACTCTTCAATGTTTTTTACTCGTATTTTCCATTTGACCCTTCACTTGGAAGTTTCTTACCGTCAACATTTAGAAGTTTCAAACTCTGTCATAATGCCATGAGTTGCAAACCTACAGGTAAAAACAAGTTTTTGCTGAAAACCGAAAAGCTACACTACACTCGACCACCCAAAAACGCATGTGTTACGACTTCCAAAATTCAAACAGTTTTTTTTATTATTATTAAACAGAAAAACTGGGGAAAAACAAGGGTACCGAACAGGTTAGGGAAAATCTAGCAACGCATGCTCATGTGGCTGACAGGAGTTTTCTAGACGGGCAGGAGCCTTGTACACTAGGTACTGACTTTTTTTTAAGTAACATATATTCAGTTGAAAGTGTTGGGACACATCAAAATGCTAGTCAAAACTAAATTCAGGAGTAGAATCACTGAAAGACAGTGGAGGAAGGTAAAGCTGATAGAAATAATATCATGCATGTTTTTGCCGTGACTCTTCAAGTGCCCAACAAGCACTTGCAATGCATGCCGTGTTTTTTTACCCAGAAAACTCACTATTGAATGCTGGGTAATACTCTCCTGAGATATACTTATGCTACTGTCAGGATGCAATTCCCTGTTCTTTCCATTGCCATTCCCACGAGCCGGGTAAGTCTATATTTCAGCCAGCTGAACATCACTACTAAAAAATTCTAATTTGTGACTAAAAACTAAAACATTGCAGACCAAACTCATGATCAACCTTTAAACCCAATACCTACATTTGGACCAAGGGTGCTATTGCACATTACAAGTCACCAACTTTTCAAAGCACAACATTTTGAAAGCAAAATATAATCCATATCCTGATTCATAAACAATTGTTGTGTCCGTGTCTGAATACACAAGCAACATAGACCTGATGAGTCCATGTCACAACATAGGTATATTGTTCACAATGAATGAATCATGAAAATCATATATAAGTCACAAAAGACGAAAGGCAGAAACCATGTGAATGTAAGAGATCTAAGGATGGAAGAAGCAAGCAAAGCACATAATCTCTTCCTCCGTTACAAGAAAAGCGCGTTTTGGTGCCAGCAGTTGGTGCTCAAAACGAATAAAACACAGGCCTATCTGCAAAAGATTGATAAAGGGCACCAGTTGTCATCTAAACAAAATTTAATTTCAGTTCATTAAAATTTTCAGATAAAACTTTGTTAATAAGCAGGAAATAAAACTTTGTTAAAACTTTGTTAATTTCAGATAAAAGAATTTACACATGCACTGTACAAATGAGGCCAACAGATATTATGTACAACTAGATCGCCATTATAGATTTTTTGCATTTGAGTTAATGTGTTTGTGCTAATAAGACACAAGTTGTGGATAGTCCAACTCTACCTGCAGTTGGTCACATCAGCATTTTAAACTTTCAAGGCAGCTTTGTGAACCATCATTTCCTTGTGAATTTGGTGGCAGCTCTTCTCCACAAGGTCAAGCAGCTTCTCCAAGTTCATGGCCCATGAGTTTAAAATATCATTACTGTCCTTTGCACTCTGGAAACAGATAATACCCATTGGCCTGTCAATCTTTGCCACCAGCGCTTTGGATACAACCATATCTGAAAGATGCTTTTCAGCTTCCTGAGATGGGAAAGTGCATTAAAGATGTAAAATTTTACGAAAACAATAATTGGTCAATTACAGAAACACCAATGACAATGAGTGCAAAGAAAAAATTGGAAATAAGAATCTGGCCTAAAAAAATTAGTCCAGCATAAATAACAACTGAACAGTTGATTCAGTGAACATGAGAGCATACCTTTTACATACAATATACATGAGCTAAGCATTGAAAAGTGCTAGTAAACAATGCCTTTGAGATCTTTTTTTTTCAACTTCTATAGTTGTTTCATAATATTTTGCTATCAGATATTTATCCTTCCATTGAAAATTCACATGCATCAGTCGGGTCATAGATATGATAATCAATAGATTTAGTACAGTACATGATAGGCCAAGGCATGTGGGCGGTGAATCGGCTTGAAAGTGAATGTCGCCAAAAACTGGCGGAATGCTCTCGAAACCAATTCACTTGAGTGAGACAGAGGAGAGTGAAATTTCGTGTGTAGGGGTGAAATCCGGAGATATTTCGTGTAGGGGTGAAATCCGGAGATATTTCGTGCAGGGGTGAAATCCGGAGATCTACGAAGGAACGCCAAAAGCAAAGGCAGCTCTCTGGGTCCTTATCGACGCTGGGGTGCAAAAGCATGGGGAGCGAACACGATTACATACCTTGGTAGTTCATGCAGTAAACGATGAGTGTTCGCCCTTGGTCTACGCGGATCAGGAGCCCAGCTAATGCGTATATACTCTTCTAAAAATTCAGTGGGTTTATTTGACTCCCACACAACCATGTAACTCCATGATTAGAGTGAATAGTTGGACGACAGATTTAAGTTTACTTTCCTATCAAAAAATGATAGATTTAAGTTCACTTAAACACATGCTTACTTGGGTGCAGGAGAGGGAGAGGGAGAGAGAGAGTCATACATCTCGGCAACAGGCTGGCACACAATCAAAGGGTGATCCCCAAAGGTGAAGTCTAGAAATATAAATAACCTGACTCACACATCTCAGGTCACATAAAATGTCCTCTCTGGTATATTAGTGAGCTTTATACATCACAAACAAACATATCCCTTGGATATTCATGTGGATCAGTCATATTCTCTCTATTACCCCCCACCCCCCCCCCTTTTTTCCTCCTCTCCTCCTAGACATATTGTGAAGAAACAATACTATGCATTGAAAGAGAAATAAAGCTTCTTTTGATCTTTTCTTATCAAACAAGCCAAGCATCTTTGCACAACAGTCTAGATTCTAATGCAAATGAAACCAGTTTCAAATTTCAGTAAATCAGTCAGAAATACGAGTTAAAATTTTAATTAAGATGTGTAACTAAAAACACCAATTTCAATTGGTTCATGAAAAATAAGATGGCACAATGCCCAACAAGTACTTTTCGCAAGAAGTTACTAGACGATATCATCTTATTGAATCATATTATAAATGACACGTCATTAGCAAACCTGAATACTGAGACACAGCAGATCCGCAAGTCTATTCAAGGTAATCCGTGAGTAATACTTCGAGACGACGAGGATGTTCTGCAAACAAGGATGTTTCATGAATGAATGATTGCCAATTAACTCAAAATATAAAAACAACAATATTAATAGCACGTGTAAAGGAAGATTACATGTTCTATCACTCTTTCTCTAAGATCTTCTGCTGCTTTTGCACCTATAGCCCCACCAAGCATGTTCTTTTCATTCTCAAACTCGTCCTTGAATGTATTCCACAAAAGTGACCACTGAATGACCTCCATGGTAATTAACTGCTTTAACAGCAGCCTGAAGAAAAGCAGCCTCGAAGGAATTAATGGCATACACTTAATAGCTATGGTTAAACAACCCCATTGCAGACAGAAACAAGAAAGGGACACCAAATATTATAAAAAGCAACCAAAAAGGGAACAAAATAAAACCTAAAATGAGGAATTTCTGACAGATTCTTATCCTCCAAAGTAGAGTTCAGAAGGCTTGATTGCATAGGATCATGTGGTGACAAAACCAAGTACCAGCATATTTTCCTAAGGACCTGTATCAAAGAATGGAAAGAAGTTCAGCAGGATTGAGGAAGACATCCTCATATATTGGTATGCTATTTCAAATGTGACCATAGGTTTATGAACACATAGATGAAGGAGATTTTTTACTGGAATCCACCGAGCTGGGTCTTCCTTCACATAGAGGGTCTCATATATTGCCTTGTAACAACGGCAAATTTCAAGGTAATCATTGCTGTGCGAGTAGAATCTACAAAGATATGAATAAAACACATGAATTTGGCATGTATCTGACAGACATAGTATAAACAATAATTCACAAGGCTACCTTTTCAATGCTTTCATTTGTAAGACTTTCAACATATCTACATTGGGATGCTCAGGATGGACCATTATCAGTTCAAGTTTTCTTTGTTGTGTGTGTGTGTTTTGTTTTTTTTTTTGGGGGGGGGGGGTTCATTTCACAACAACTTCACACGCAGCATGTTCATGATTGGTCCTGGTTTAGCATTAGCTGCTGAGTAAGTTACCAGGGCAAAAGTCCCTCAAATGGTTGTTGAGGAAGATGTATCCTCTTATTTTTCAGGTAAATTAAAAAATTTCGGGGTTGTGCCCTTTCACTGGGGTTGTGCCATTTATAATTGCTCTCTTACACTGGGGTTGTGCCCTTTCCCCAAATCAACCCCCCCCCCAAAAAAAAAATAAATAAATAAATAAAACTCCAAAAATAAAAAAAACCAATTGCCAACATGTTTATAATACTTAACAAAAAGTCCCTGCTATTCTGTATGCGAACCTCCACAAAGACTTCCAGTTTTAATGATCAAAGATTTAGAGTTCAAACTCCAGTAAGTCATGTCAATCTGCACAGACAGCTTTACAGATCACTATTGCTGCAGCTACACAAGTCTTTTTGAAAAGAATCATACTACTGGAAAATTTTTCTTAATAGTAATATAGGCAAAAAGAAAACCAAAGTACATATAATCCAATGTATTATTGCTATTACTACTAGGGGTAGCAGTAATCTATATTAATGACAATCTTGCATTACTTTTCCCGGCTGTCGCTCACCCATAAGGTAAGACGCAGAACTAGGGAAAAAAGAGGAAGCAACAATCAAAAATTATCAACCCAATTGCATAAATCTGGGCCTAGCCAGATTCACAAGTGTTTAAGATCCTCTTCATATCAGACTAAATCTGTTAACTTTCATTTGGATTTACACATAAATCTTAATCTGATATTTTTGTTGTGTTTGGCAGCATGATTGAGGTCTTCAGAGTAACAATAGAAAATAATAGTTCCAATTTCATTTGCAGAGCCCAGTTCATGCTGCTAAACAATAACATGGATACAAGAAGATATTTTCCATCAAGAAAAACTTTAAATCTTGGGGCCAAATTAGGCATGATGCCATTGACTGGCACAAGAAGCTCGCAAACTAATAATATTAACCACACCTCATAGGCCCCAAAAACCATAAACAGGATTGATTCACAAAGAACATTAAATTTATGTAAAAAGATATAACATCAGTGATTTTCTTTTTGAAAGTTCAATTTCATCAAAATAATTTCAAAATTAAGCATAGATATGAATGAACACCATAACACAACCAGCAAGGCCCAAATAGGGCAATGATCAAAATTTCGTTTGGTGTATTCGATCACACACGAAACAAAAACATTTAGAAGACAATTCAAAAATAGAATAGCAAACAAATAAAAAGTTAGAGAAACATCGGCCGAAATATATAGGAACATTTTGAAACACCTAGAAATATTCTGAAATATTGTGAGAAACTTGTTAAAACATCTCGAAACACCTTATAACATTCCAAAACTTTGAAGCATTGGAATTTTGATTAAATTAATTATTTGTTTTGGTCTCCTTCAAACAGAAACGTTTTGGCCGTCTCAATTGGTCTGAAACAAAATTTTGATCTTTGCAAGGGAGAAACATTTTCAATTAGAGGTCTTACTATAATGCAACCACCAAAAAATATAAAGATCTTTTACCTAATGTTGACAATCGATTATTAAGTTACGTGATGGTTATTGTATAAAGGTGATAGTTGAATTTATTACATGAACTAACATGAGTTGCAATAAGCCGAACACCTTTTCTTTTTTTTTTTTTTTTGGGGGCAGGCGGGCTAGGTTTTCGAAATCCTTCTTTGACCCAAGGTTTTTAGTGTGCTTTTCAAGTGAACTTTTTATGTGTATTCTTATACTTTGCACCCCTCCACAAAAAAAATAAAACACCCCCGGGGGTGGGAAAAAAAGTGCTAATATTTATTCCTAAAGCACTTACATAATATTTAGGTTTTCGAAATCCTTCTTTTGTTTTTTTGTTTTTTTTTAGGGGGGGGTGGAGGGTGGGTTGGCCTAGGTTTTCAAAATCCTTCTTTGACCCAAGGTTTTCAGTGTGCTTTTCAAGTGAACATTTTATGTGTATTCTTATACTTTGCAACCCCCCCCCCAAAAAAAAAAAAAAAAACAAACCCGGGGGTGGAAAAATATTGCAAATATTTATTCCTAAATCGCTTACATAATATTTAGAATGGTTGAATTTTTTTTATAACTCATTTAAATCAACTTCCGCATCCCGAAAGCGCTTACATAATACGTGCTTATTTGTATGCATGTCTATCTCATTTTGCTTGTTGTTTCTTCTGGTTTTTTTTTTAAGGGGGGAAGGGGGCATTAAAAAGCTATTTTGATCCTATCCAAATTGTTCTAGCAATGAAAGCCATGAGACCATAACAAAATCATGTACACACATCTACGAGGTAGGAAAATATGGGCAAAAACTTTGCTTTAAGCTAAAGGTGACTTTCATTATTATTCAAGAAAACAAGTGTACATAATAGATCAATTTGCTGATAGAGCAATATTACAAACTCAATTATTTTATATACCATCAACAACTATCATCGAGTGAAGCTAATTATCCGGAAGTTTAATTTGTAAATGAAATGTTGTTTCATGATCGTCAAGCATACTAAGCATTATCTACTTAATTTTTAAGTTCAGTTACCACATGTATTTTTGTTAGTATGAAGAGATTGGGTGGGCCAGGTAATTTCTTTTTTGGAGCATTGGGCCATGTAATGTGATTCTTCCATAATCAAAACTAAAAATCCTTAACACTTGATTAACAATCCCCATTTAGATCTGTAGCTTTGGACGATATATTTGAAAATTCTTAGATCATGCCAATTAATGATGAAACTTGTAATAAAATGTCTAATGAAATAAGTATTTGACCCGCTAATTATGACTCTGTTGACAAGCTTCAGTCAATTCCAATTAATTCTAGTGCATTGGATGGCTCGGTAAGGTGATTACAAGTTCATTGCATACTGGAGTAGACAGGAATAGGGTTATATGCATTCCCATTATGGGAATGAGTCATTTGAGCATATTTAAATAGATACTATCTTTGAAAATTCCAATGCCATGTACTTTAACATAGAACTTTTCTAATTAACTCAGTAGTAGATATACAGTATGCCTATGTTGCCATTACATAATGTGTTCAAATGTGGTTGGTTTCCAAAAACAATACCTACATACCGTATCATTAATTCATAGTAGATCCGCTTCAACTCCAACAAGGATGGTATATCAGCAGGAGCCTCTTCTACAATATTTTCGCCTTCTTTGGGTTTTTTCTTTTCTTTAGTATCAGCATCAAAAACTCTAGGACTGATTTTTCTTGAGAGTATTTGAGCACGCACATAATCTTGGCGGTCTAAACACAGACGAACCTGAAAGTTTAGATTTCATGGTATCACATTTTTAACACAAAGATCCTGCATGTTAATTGGAAAGTCAGATAACATAAAAGAGAAAAGTGAGGCCTCATACTTGCTCAAGAATGAAAGCTATTTTTTCGGTTTTTGCCATTGCACCAAATGTTTCGACCTGTAAATCCATATCAATAAAAAAAGGTGTTACAAGAGGGAAATAACACCTCCATGCACAATTTGATTACAACTACACCAAAACAGAAATAAAAAGATGATGTAACTCATCACAAACTGACCGCAATTTCTTGCATCAAATCAGCAGCCTCAGCTATAAGCCCTTGTTCTTCCTTGATCTTTGCAAGTCTCTTGATCAAACGAGCCCTCTCAATCTCCACATATATCTACAAAATAACAGGACCAATTGAGAAAAGAACCAAAAGAAAAAGAGTGGGCATTATGTGCGTACGGCAACATACAGTATATCATGACAAGTATATGTTCACCTTTCCAGCAGAAACACTGTTAAGGGTTTAATGAGCTCTATCCTAGTTTCAAGATCCGGTGTCTCATCAATGTATTGCATTGCCTGCTGGACCATCGCAGTTACGGCCTGAATGAAATCAGGAACCCCATGAAAAAAAATCAGCAAGCCAATTAAAACCAATTTACCATTTCAAAATTACCAACAAAAAAAAATCAGGTTCCTTTGTTACAAAGGTAGAAAGGAGAAACCCATTTCAAAGCATAAGTTGAATGGAAATGCCAAAAAAAAACTGTGACAGTGCTTTAAAAAAAAATGGAAAACAACAAAACACGTATGATGAATGGCATACCCAGCAGCAACAACCAGATATAACTAAATGAAGTTTAAATAAGTGACTGTGTCACTGCTTAAATTCAAATGTGTGTGCACATCTCTTCCTATCCATCTAGGTTTACATACTGGTGTATATACTTTGTATGCACACAAAGATACCGAAACACATACATATAAGCAGGCACCTCACTGCAGGCATGTATGTAGGCATTACGCCATCCTAATTCTTTTTCAGTGTTTAACCCCATTTTCTCTTGATTTACATTGTTAACTACAATTTTTTACAAATAGGTAGCATCAATGTTATTAAAAGCGCAACTAGGTGATCTCCTAGGCAAGAAGCAAGCCCAAATCACCTAGAGTGGCGGCCCGGGCGAAGAGAAGAGAAGATTAAGCATCTAAGGCAAGTGCTCCTCGCTTAAACAAAAAAGCGAAGAAGCAAACATTTTA